GGATGGCGCTGGCCCTGGAGTGAGGTGGGGTGCTGGGCAGCCCCCAGGGTCAGTCCTCAACTCCTGCTCAGCCGTGTCTCTATTCCCAGGGGGGCAACAATGCTGGCCACACGGTGGTGGTGGACGGCAAGGAGTACGACTTCCACCTGCTGCCCAGCGGCATCATCAACACCAAGGCCGTGTCCTTCATTGGTGAGTGTCCCCAGGAGCAGCCCACACCTGCCTTTCACAGGCTGTGAGCGTGGGGCCCAGGAGCTCAGCATGCAGGAAGGGTGGCGGCCACCTGCCCCCAACGCAAACTGAACTGGGAGGTAGAGTCAGTGTGGGTGCAGGGGCCCCTGACAGGGGCCTGGCCTGGCCTGTCCCCAGGGCCCTGCAGCCAGAATCCTGGCACAGGCTGGGCCTGCACTGGGGCGGGGTTGCAGGGGGTCACTGAGCAGGGACCCCTGTGTGCTCCCGTCCCTGGCACATGCGGGGCGAGTGTGGGCGCTGCCTCTGTGTGTGCAGGGGCCCCTGCTGTGTGAGGTGTGGGCTGTGTGGACAGCTGTGCTTCACTGGCCCTGCCCGAGGAGCTGCTGCTCCCGCCGCTGACTGACCTCAGCACTGCCTCCTCCTGTTGACCTTGCTGCAGCCACCCAGGACCTTCCAGTGCCACCTCAGTCTCCACGACTCTGTGGCTCTCCCTCTCTTCCTTCCTGCCCCCTGGCCAGTCAGAGGCGCCCAGTGTCCTGCCCTCTGCTCTCAGCCCCTTCTTCTCCCTTTCCTCCCGGCTCTGCCTGGCACACTTGGGACTCAACTGACCGCCAGCCCGGTCAGGAAGTGCTGTGTCTGTGCCCAGTTGGTGGTACAGGGGCCTGCCACTCTAGACCAGCTGGGGAAGGAAGACCTGGCCCAGGCGGCCGTGAAGGGTCAGAGCCCTGCCAGAGCTGAGGCTCGGGGCCTCTCCCCAGTGCAGCCCTCATGTCTGTCCCTTGCCGTAGTGACCATCCACAGTTCACACCAAAGAACCCAGAGCACAGTGAGGTGACCGCCTTTCTGTGTCCCAAGCCCCTGTCCCCAGCTCCCAGGCAGCTGTGACGTGGTACCAACCTGCTGCCTGGGCAGTGGTGCAGGGGACTGGCTGCCAGCCTTGCTCTGCTGGGCACCGGGCTGTGCTGGGTAGGAACGAGGCCTAGGAGCCACGGCCGGCCCAGGATGGCAAGCTGCCCAGCCTCTGAGGACAGGCCAGGTGGTCACCGGGAACACCTGGAGAGCGGACTCTGTGGTCAGTGCAGAGGAAGGACGGCCCCTGCAGAGGCTCGTCGCATGAGGGGCAGACACAAAGGCCTGCACCAAGCCCTTCCCTGGTGACACTCCTGCCTCTCACATGGCTATTTTGAGATAGTGGCATTTAGGTGACCTTCTGTGCTCCCTGTGGCCAGTCACTCCCATCTGGACTGGGGTCAGCCTCCCTTGGCCAAACCTGTGCCGCAGTCAGCCCCATATCACCAGCAAAGGGAAAGGAGTCCCCGGGAAGGCAGCCTCGGTCTCCACTGTGCCTCCTCCGGCCTTGGAGAAGAGGGCTCCAGTTCAGCACCCCCAGCCCACACTCTACCAGTGTGCTGTGTGGCCTTGGGCAAGTCACCCTCCCTCTCTGGGCCTCTGTCTTGCCTATGTGGGACATCTCTGTTTTACACGTTGGGAAGAGCATGTCTCCGGGGGAGGTGCCGCTCTGCTCCTGGGGCACGCTGGTGCTGCGTCCCTCCCAGGCTCTGCTCCCCATTTTCATGCCATTTCAGTAAAATAACAGCCAGACTGAGGAGTGATTGGCACATCATAAAGCACAGCTGTGCCACACCCCCACCTCAATGGCAGAGCATCCTCAGGCCCCAGGAGCCGTGGGGACAGTGCCACCCACCCACGCAGGCAGCCTGACTGCAGTGTGCTCACCTGGCCCGGGGGGCTGCTTCCACTGGCTCAGACACGATGGTCACTATTAGTGGTTCTGAATGACTCTGAGTCTCCGAGCCGTTGGAGGGTCACAGCAGACTTGGGAGGCAGGGACGGGTTTCCTGATGCCCTGCGCTCGAGCAGACTGGCATGTTTTCGCGGCTGGGGGTCAGGGGGAGGGGGGCGCGCTGGCTGCCCGAGGGCAGCTTCTGCTGGATTCTGTGGGCTAGGATGTGTGAGGACTCACCGGCACAGCACCAGACAGGGCCGCAGCCCAAGCCCCTGCGCCCTGCTCAGCACGCCTTCGCCCAGCCCTGGCGCCCTGCTCAGCACCCCTTTGCCCGACCCTGGCTCTGCCAGTGTGCACCTCATGCCTTTGCCTTTCCTGGTGACTGAATATGGGGTTCGTTAAGTTGAGCTTTGGGGTGTAAGTGCCTTCACCAGCCCCGGGAGTGGCACGGGGCAGCGCGGCTCCGGCTCTGCTCCTGTGCAGTCTGCGTTTCAGGGTCCCCGCGCCCTCTGTGGCTTCCTGGCTCCTTTCTTTGTGGTGCTGAGTGACGTCCCGTGGCCTGAATGTGCAGTTCGTCCTCCACTCGCCCACTGAAGGACACCGGGTAACCTCCAGGCTCTGTGTGGGTGGGTTTCAGGTCCCAAGGAACACGACCCTGTGAGCACCATGCCATCCACCCGCAGGGCCTCCTATTGCCCCAAACTGAAGCTCTGAGACCTGAAACCTGCCCACCCTTTCCCCCACCCCTGGGAGACGCCCTCTGCCTCTGTCCCTGCGCTGGTCAGTGCAGGGACCTGCTGGTCAGTGCAGGGACCTCCTGGGATGGGAGCCTCTGGTTCCCGCGCAATAGCATCCATCCAGCTGATTGCACTGAGCATCACACCAACGGCCGCCGTGCGGTGAGAGGCTTCCTTTCAGGGCTGAATTATAGTCCGTGTGGGGCTGGACCATGTGGCTCATCTGCCCATCCCTGGACAGACACCTGGGCAGCTTTGGCCCCTGCCTGCTGGAGCAGAGTGGCTGTGGGCAGCGTGTCTCAGGGTCTGCAACGCGACCCACCCTGTTGGTGTGTTGCAGGCAATGGCGTGGTCATCCACTTGCCCGGCTTGTTTGAAGAGGCAGAGAAGAACGAGAAGAAAGGTAGGCTGGGTCCCTGAGGCCTGCCCGCCCACGCGCATTGGGCCAGCAGGCGGGGCAGCCTCTCCAGCTGGGCCCCGTCTCTGCCCATGCAGAAGGCAGGGTCCTCGCCCAGTGGGCAGCAGCTGGGCAGCCTAAAGGCCTGCTTCAGGCCACTGCCTCAGCATCACAGGCAGGTGGACGCTGGAGCCTCAGGCTCAGGAAGTCCAGGAAGGGCGGCTGGAGCAGGAAGAGCCCTGGGCCTGCAGGGTTGTCCTCCCAGAGCTCAGCAGGGGAGAGGCAGGGGTCAGGGTGGTCACCTGCTGCACGGTGTGGGGGACCCTCTTGGCCTCTTGGCCACGTGCTCACCCATGGATGGCCGGGTGTGCTGGCCGACTTTGGCACTCCTCACCTGAGTATGGTGCACCTGTGAGCACAGCCAACCTGTGTGCCCTGTCCCCACAGGACTGAAGGACTGGGAGAAGAGGCTCATCATCTCTGACCGGGCCCACCTGGGTGAGGTTCACACTGGGGGGCTGGGGGGGCTGGGGTCCCACCCCCTCACCCCGGGAGGCCCCCCTCTCCCTCCCTTGCCCCTGCCTTTCTCAAAGAGTTTGAGCGGGAGCCAGGGCCAACCCATCTGCAGACAGGGGACTAGGGCACAGGCAGCCTGGGACTCAGGGACTCTGGCGTCTACTCCTGGCCAGGGTGACAGTCACACCCAAGCCCTCCCACGCCCTCCCAGTGGCCACCTGCCACAGGCGGGCCCCGCTGAGCTCTGTCCTCTGCTGTCCCTGCCCCCGGTGCCTGCGGCCTGCAGTGTTCGACTTCCACCAGGCCGTGGACGGGCTTCAGGAGGTGCAGCGCCAGGCGCAGGAGGGCAAGAAGTGAGTACCCAGGCGCAACTGCTGCGGCCCCCATCCCTCAGCTGGCGGCCTTGGGGGGCATCCAGTCCCAGGGGCAGGATGCCAACCAACTCAAAGCCACTACAGAACACTAGGCCATCCACCTCTCGGGCCACACCCTCCCTCCCTTTGGTGGCCCGAGGGAGCTGAAAAGAGCCGGCCATCTGCCCAGCCAGCACCACTGTGACACCAGAACCCTGTCCCTGCACACCCAATGGCCACACACACATCCACTCAGAGATGTCCATCAGAGCCGCGGACTCGCGGGGCCATGGGGGTGAAGCACCCGCATCCTGCCCTGGGAGATGATGGTCTCACTCGTGTGCTGGCTCCCGGGGCTCCGACTGGCCTGTGTGATGCATGGACACAGGTGGCCCATGCAGTGCCCCGTCCAGGAAGCCAAGGTGGGGCGCAGGTGGGGTGGCCAGGGCAGAGGGCACTGCTGGGGTGAGGGGGCTCAGCACACTGCCCAGCAGCCCCAGCTGGCTCTGCAGGCGGCAGCGAGGGTCAGCGGGGGCCTCAGCAGCACGGGATCCCCGTCTTTCAGCATCGGCACCACCAAGAAGGGAATCGGACCAACCTACTCCTCCAAAGCCGCGCGGACGGGCCTCCGCATCTGTGACCTCCTGTCGGACTTTGAGGAGTTCTCCACCAGGTGCCTGCACGTCTATGCCCCGGGCCGGCAGGGAGGTTGGGGGGCACACGGATCCAGGCAGGGGTGCGGCTCCCCGTGTGGACCGTCAGGGGTCACAGCGAGGTCACTCGTGCAGATTCAAGAACCTGGCCCAGCAGCACCAGTCCATGTTCCCCACCTTGGAAGTAGACGTGGAAGGGCAGCTCAAGAGGCTCAAGGTGACCCTGGGGCCTGGGCAAGGCGCCTGGTGGGAGGCCCCGTCCCATGCCATTGCTGCCTGGGAGCCTGGCCTCACCCTCCGCACCCGCAGGGCTTTGCTGAGCGGATCAGACCCATGGTGCGCGACGGTGTGTACTTCATGTACGAGGCGCTCCACGGCCCCCCCAAGAGGATCCTGGTAGAAGGCGCCAATGCAGCCCTCCTAGACATTGACTTCGGTGCGTCCCCCTCGGAGCCGCCACCCAGGGGCCATGCTTCCTGACAGGCCTTGTGTGCGGAAGCAGGTGGGGGTGAAGCAGTCACACCCTCAGGCTGCAGGGCCACCCATGCCCATGAGTGAGATCCCTCATCCCCCGTCCCCTAATTTCAGCTGGGAGAGGAAAGAGGGAAGGGCTGAGCTAGAGATGAAGGAATTGGCAGCCAGAGGCCAGGAGGGGGACCAGGGGCCCTGCAAGGCTGGGTCCTTTCTGTCCCTGCTCCACAGGGCACAGTCTGCCACACTGTCGGGCAGCCAGGCCGCCTCAGTCTCACCAGACTCCTATGTGAGCCACATGGCCCAGCACCCAGTGCCCATGTAGGGCACTGCCCCAGGACAGCCCCTCAGACCCCTGGCCCTGTTGACCCTCTTTGTGGAGAAGGTCTTGGGCCCCAGGCCCGCAGGGTGAAGGGCAGCCCCAATCCTCTGTCTTACAGGGACCTACCCTTTTGTGACTTCTTCCAACTGCACGGTGGGTGGCGTGTGCACGGGACTGGGCATCCCCCCGCAGAACATAGGTGACGTGTATGGAGTGGTGAAGGCCTACACCACCCGCGTGGGCATCGGGGCCTTCCCCACCGAGCAGATCAATGTGAGTGCCAGCCCCAGCACCAGGCAGTGCAACTGTGTGGGGAGCCACAGGGACCTTGGTTGGCCATGCCCGATCCCCCAGTGGGCCCTCCTGTGGCACAGGCAGGGCTCCTGCACCATTTCAATGGCAACAGCACTGTGGCCAGAGTGTGTGTGTGTGTGTGTGTGCATGTGTGTGTGTGTCTGTGCACGCGCGTGTGTGCACACGTGTGCACACATGTACGCCCACCACTACCCCGGGAAACTTGTGAGGCCCATGGGCAAGTGGGGGCACCTCAAACCCCTCAGAGCACCCTCATGTTGGTTAGCCACCCAGCTCAGAGGGACACCCATGTCCTCTGGGCCTCTCCGGGGTTTGGGTTATCTCTGTCCTTTTCTGGGCCTCATCCAACTTGGGTGTCTGTCCACCAAGCACAGGAATCAGGGCTGAACGCACAGCCCTCTCTCCACCTCAGAGCACTTCTGGAAGCCACGGTGGCTCCGAATCTGCAGGAGCCACTGGCCTTCCTTCCCTAGCCTCACCCACCTTGGCAGGGTGGGATGACCACAGGCCTCGTCCCAGAACAGGGGTGGGCAGGAGCAGGTGCCCACGAGAGCCAGAATTGGGGAGCTGTGGCTCACATGCAGAGGCAAGCAGCTCCCGGGTGGGCAGGGGCATGGAGGAGGAGATAAGCACACCCCCTGCCCCCAAAGTCCAGCTGCAGGACCAGGCCCCTCGCATACCTGCCCTCGCCCAAGCAGGAGGGAAGACGGCCGGCTCCTGGCCTTCTGGAGACAAGGTTCTCCAGCCCAGAACTACACTGGGCAGCAAGGCCCAGCCACTGCGTGCCCAGGTGGGGCTGTGGCTGCCAGGAACGTGGAGGTGTGGGGCGCATTGGCTGCCTCGGAGGCGCCTTCAAGGACTGCCGGGTCAGGAGGAGGAGGAGGGCAGAGGAGGAGCCGGCGGACAGGAGAGGACACACGGCTCCTGTCATGGTTCCCATCGTGGCTCCCGTGGACGGTCTTCTCTGTCCTCGTGCAGGAAATCGGAGATCTGCTGCAGAACCGTGGCCACGAATGGGGGGTGACCACGGGCAGGAAGCGGCGCTGTGGCTGGCTGGACCTGATGATCCTCAGATATGCCCACATGGTCAACGGGTTCACGGCGTAAGCAGCCCCTCCTCAGCTCGCCAGAGCTGACTCCTAGGAAGGGCGCAAACCCCTGATCCTTGGGAAGGCCACCTGGGAAGCGCCAGATACCTCTCCCCCATGTGGGTGGATCCCACAGAGGGGACCTGAGTGGGACCTGAGGTTAGGACCCAGAGCGCTGCAGCCCCAGCTGCACAGCCTTTGGGAGAAGCCTCTCTGGCCCTGAGGGGGAAGCCCAAGGGGCCCCTGCTGCCAGCTGGAAGGGCTGCGGGCATTTTCCCAGGGGTGCAGCAGTCGGGGCAGGGCAGCCTCCAATGGTTCTCTGTGAGGACCCTGAGGTTCAGTTGCTCAGGACCGTCTCCTGGGAACAGAGGCTTGCTGGACCGAGGGTTCACTGCTTCATCTCCAGTTTGGCAACACAGGCCAGGGTCGTGAGCTACCTCCAACCAGGTGGAAAGGTCCCTGTTGGGTTCAAGACTTAACCAGACTTAACCTAGCTCACAGGGCTAGGACCCCACACAAGCCATGCTGCAGGCCCCAGGGGGCAGGAGGCACAGGCAGAGGGAGCTCTGACCGCCAGAGAAAGCTGAGATGAGGGGAAAGGGGCTCCCCGTGGGGACACTCAAGGAAGGGGAGCGTCCTTGAAAGGCCAAGGCAGGGTACAGCCCTGAGATGGGCTTCCTGCCCCCTGGCCTGTTCGTCAATCACATTTCTTTGGGGATCACCCGTCTTTATTCTTAATTGACAGTCTGCTGATGTCTCTTGGTTTTTGGACAGGCTGGCCTTGACCAAGCTGGACATCCTGGACGTCCTGGGTGAGATCAAAGTCGGCGTCTCGTACAAGCTCAATGGAAAGAGGATCCCCTACTTCCCAGGTACTGGAATGAGCCACTGTTTTTCAGTCCATTGGGACATCTGTTTGGCTTTGATGGAGGCAACCCGAGGTTCCTGAGACCGAGGGGTTTCCTGGCTCAGTGGCAGAGGGCGGGCTGCTGCTCCCCAAAGACCCACGTCCTTCCTGGCTTTTGTCTTTTGCGGGTTCTTGGGGAAGCCTGGTCAGGTCTCAGAGCCAGGAAGGAGGTGGGTCTTGACTGCAGTGCCTTCTGGTGGCCTGAGAATAGCTCAGGGGACAGGACTGTTTCTGACTACCTACAGTCATTGCCTGGGGACCCTGGGGACCCTCAGTCACTTCGGCAGAGGAGGAGCTCCTCCAGGAAGGGCAATGCCCCATGAGTTAGTGGACGTGAACTGCTCTGGAAAACTGGGACATGGAACTGGCCCTCTCCTCAGCGAGCATGCCTTGTGGCTAGCTGTACTGATCTGGCTTTTCGGTGTTGGGGAACCCAGGCTGGGGGAACGCGCTCCACCACCAGGCCCTGGTCCTGGCTGGAGTCTGAGGATCTCCTGGACTCCGACTGGGCATCCCTTCCTTTGGAAAGCATAAGGGGTGTTGCTTTCCTGGGTTCCAGTGCCCATGGTCTGGAAGGCTCCCCTCAGCCTCACACCCAGGGTCATGCTGACCTGCTCTTCCTTAGCCTCCTCTGCAGTGGCCGGGGTAACTGCCCCTTGCTTACAACCTCTGAGCAGACCTGGGTATGCATGGAACTGCCCCTTGGCTACAGGAGCCACGTGTGTCCTCAGGGCCCTCCTGGCCCTGTTGACCCCTGACCTTTGAGAGCATGTAGCTTGGAGGCTGAGTCTCCTCCTGGTGCTCAGGGCTCTGTGCACAGTGAGCAGCAGGACTCAGGAACCCTTGGTGGGCACTCATTCCAGTATCTTCCCGAGTCAGGGATGGCACCACCTTGGGCCATGGTGTCCTAGCACAGAGCAGGTGTCTCTGTGCCTGAGGCTTGATGCTCCTGGGCAGGGGCACATGTCCCTCAGGGTGCCTCCTGCCTCAGAATTCAGATTTCCAGGTGGGGCCTCATTGAAGAGCAGTGCCGAGTGCGAGTCCCCAGTGGGTGTGCCTTGGCCTGGAGGGCACAGCCAGTGTCTGCCCCCTGCTCTTCCCCCTGCCCTCACTGACATTGCCCTGCAGTCGTCAGTGTCCGAGGGACCACTTTGCCCGTGTGTCCCCCAGCTAACCAGGAAATACTTCAGAAGGTTGAGGTGGAGTACGAAACACTGCCCGGCTGGAAAGCAGACACCACGGGTGCCAGGAAGTGGGAGGACCTGCCCCCCCAGGCCCAGAGCTACGTGCGGTTTGTGGAGAATCACGTGGGTGTGGCAGGTGGGTGCCTGAGCCCCCATGGCCACCCTTCCCTGCACCCTGGACCTCAGGTGCCCCAGGGGCCTGTGTCCCAGTGCAGGGCCTGGAGGCTATAAGACTCCTGCCAGGTGCAGTGACCAGGAGGGTGTATCAGATGGCAAGAGGGGAGGGGCCGGAGCTGGGGTGGCTCCTGGGACACCTCACTTCAGCAGCAGTGGCCAGGGGTAGCCCCGTGACTCTGCCAAGAACAGCTGCCCCAGATGCAGATGGCCACTAGGCATGTGTTAGCCCTGTCCAGAGGGTTCTCGCCTCGTGGCAAGCCCTGGGAACAGGCACAGGCTGACTGAACCGCCCACTGTGTGCTACCATTGATGCTTTCAGTCAAACATTTCCACTTAAATTTCCAACTTTGGAATATCAATTTGGAGAAAAATCACCCCACTGTCAGATGACTGACACATGTGTTGTAACCACTCTGCTGTCCTTCCAGTCAAATGGGTTGGCGTTGGCAAGTCCAGAGAGTCCATGATCCAGCTGTTTTAGATGAGCCGACCCGGGCAGGCCACAGCAGCCCCTGTCCCCGTGTGAGCCGCTGTAGGTGTCACAGCTACACCATCCACGGAAACAGGAAAATGGGTTTCTGCACTTTGATTTTCTATTTAAGCCTTCAGCTCAACCCACTGAATTCTGCGATGGTCTTAATCATCTGCAAGTGAGCTCCATGTACAGTTTTTAAGATTCTGCTGTTTAAAATGAGCCTAAGTGCTTCAAACAGGGCCCCTGGCACACTGATGTCACATGGTGTGTCCAGCTGGAGCCATGTTGCAATAAACACATCCCAGAGTCACTGAGCAGTGGTCACTGTGTGCTTGCCTTGACCTTGTCCTTGTTGCTTTTCAACACTGAAAGGCACCTACTCCCCATGACCAGCGTCCAGATGATGCAGCCTCCTAAGAGAAAGGCTCAGTCAGTAGCTGAGAATGGCTGCCACTACCAGCAGGCGCTCTGAGACCCCAGGAAGAGGCAAATGGGCCCAGGGTTACACAACGCACAATTCACTGGGGACTTAGAGACTCTGGCAGCAAGTCAGGGAAATCCCACATCCTAAGGCAACAGGCTGGAGTTTACTTGCTAAGCTAGACCATGCCAGGCCATGGTCACCTGAAATGTAGCTTTTCTCAAAACCTGTTAACATGTCCAGCATCAGTTAACAGTGTGGATGTCAGGGGCCCACAGTCACACTGGGCTGGCTATCTGAAGGACGTCATCCCACAGGGTTTGGGGTGGGGCCAGGGTAACTGGTGGGCAAAATGGAACCCCTGCAGTCGGGTATCACAAAGCTAAGCCAGGTATATGCTCAGAAAACAAAATGGAGCAAGCTCATGTAGGATGGACCAAGTGTATTAAATATGTTTTTCAAAACTAACCAACTACGTTGAGGATGAAGTTCAGGGGTAGAGCATTTGCCCAGAGTGCACAAGGCCTAGGTTCCTTCCTCAGCACTGCAAAAAAAAAAAAAAAAAAAAAGACAAAATTTCAAAACTAACTACCTAAATGAATTACACTCTAGGGCTGCTACCCAGCTAGGACCCACTAGATAATCCAAGAAAGATAATCACACCCGCCTGAGAGGGCAGTGGAGCCCAGGGGCAGCCCCTCTCCACTCCAGCTGGGCAAGCTTGGGCACAGTTCCTCCAAGCTGCATCCAATGCTCAAACACTTCTTGACTGGTCTGAGCCTTCCAGTACTGACCATGGTCTCTACCCACAGGGGCGCCAAGTGGCCTCCTTCGATAACGTTTCAGAGTTTGGGGTACATTTAGAAAAATAACTGCCCTCTGATATCCTTCCTGTGGGCAGGGATTGCATGGAGGGACCCAGAGTCTCCCAGGTGACTCCTGGGACTAGTTGGCACCAAGTCAGATGGTCCCCCTGCTGAAGGCCACCTGGGTTTGCTTTCCAAGACTTCAACAGTCCAGGAAGTCCTACAGGCTTGGCCTGACTGCCTCACTCCCAGAAGACACCAACTCACATGACAGTGGGCTCAGGGCAAAAACCCCTATGACCCCAGGCTCACCAGCAAACTCCCAAATGGTACCAAGAAGGACCTTCAGGGTTTGAAAGGAAATGGGAAATGCCAGTGTGGCTACCTCTCCACCTCTTGGCCACTTGGTGGCCTTCCTGTGCCTTCCTGGTGCTCAGCACACAGCCATGGGAGGAGACAGAAGCAAACCCAGTTCCTTGGGTTTTCTGGGAATTTTTTTTCCTTCCACAATACAGCAGGAAAGGCAAAAGGAAAGAGTTTTCCAGCAGCAGATATTTGGAGGGTTTGGGATTTTTGCACTTTATATAGACAACACAGCCCTAGGGCAGACAGTATAGGCTAGGTCTCTGTTCAACGCAGGGGTAAAAGAAAAATCAGTGACTCGATGGCCACGTGAAGCTTGCAATTTCCTGTTACCTGGGCACCCACCTTGAGTGCAAGCTGCACCTCACACCAGAGGCAGGGCTCAGGCACCCTGAGTCTGTGGGTCCCTACCTCCTCCCAGAGTGGTCCTCAGGGTGTCCGGCCACAGCTTTCCCTGAAAATGCCTCCCAGACCCCCCCTTCCCGGCCCAACCACTGACGCACACTGCTGTGGTGCCTACCTTCAGTCCCAGCAGGTGCCTGGGACCTGGCGCCTGCCAATTCTATTACTTAGAGCTCCCTGAAAGACCCTGCTTAGATAACACCCTGGACCCCAGTAGACTCCCCCACAGGTCTTGCTCTCAGGCTCTTGCCCATGTGCTGCCTGGCCATATGCTGGATAGCTCCCACGGGTGCTCCCCAGGCACCCTGTCTCCTCTCTTGGATCTGGGAGGACTGAGCTCTTCTATCCTTCTCTCTGTTTTGTTGAGCAGCCTCCCCTGTGTTCCTCCCAAAGCTGACCTCCCATCAGGGCTGTCCCAGAGAGGGCTACCTTGGCAAGCATAAACTGGACACAGGTCAGAGACAGAGCTACAAGGACACTGTAACAAGTTTCCTGTGACAGGGACACAGTCATGGGTTGGAGACTCTGGCATTGGGTGTCACCAGGACAAGGAAATACCCTGTGAAAGGCTCCCAATAAGTGTTCATGCCCAGGTCAGGAGCCTGGTCAAGAAAGGGCTAGAGATCATGGCCACTGTCCAGATGCCCCCTCAGAACCAAACCAGGGGAAACTCGTGATGGCCATGTTCTTTAGTAAGTACATTCCCTAGCACTTCTGAAAGCTGCCGGCTGGTTTAGAAGTTAAACTATATCTATCAGCACCTGGGCATCTGTCCCCCATCCTGGTCCATGATAGGTGAATCTGGGTGTCCAGAAAAGGCCTTCCATGCACAGGCTGTCCAGAGCAGCTCAGCCATTACAGCCAAGGCCTGGCATCAGCCCAGGGCCCAGTGGGGTGGGCAAGCAAACCAAGGTTCTGCTAGACAGTGAGACACTTGGTGCCAAAAGGAACCAGCTGCCCACAGGTGCATGAAGGTGGGGGCAAAGTTGGAGTGCTGAGAAGTAGCCGGACACAGAGCTTCAGAGCAGCAGTGCCACCCTAAGGGATGGGACACAGAGCAGAATCACTGCTCAGGGTGAGGAAGATAGGATAGTTACGGGATCCCAGTTCTTTTATTTTAATGTAAAGGCCACTCCATAAAGTTAACCTGTAGAAACATTCCAGCTAACTCCTTCATCCTGGGGTGATGGGAATAGGAGGAGGTCAGACCTGAGTTAAGGCTACAGCCTCAAGAGCTAACCGACAGCCTTTTCCAATGTTTGTGTAGCATGGATTTTGACCATTGCCTCTACCCAGAAGCCATAGAAGCCCCTAGACTAGTACATGAAAGTGGCAATCTGCTGAGGTCCTCTCTCAGCTTGTGGGAATTCTGTGTCTTTTGTTCTCACTTAAATAAATCCTATTCTTTTATGCTCACTCTTCATCTGTGAATTTCATTCTTTGAATTCAAAAGACAAGGACCAAGAAAGAAATTGGCAGTGAGCTTCTAGGGTTTGCCATTAAGAGCTGCAACATACCACTCCACAGTAGTGGAGAAGAATCTGGTTTTGCCAGCTGAGACCCTTGAAGCATCCCCTGCTGTGATTAGCTCTAAGGCTAAAATGGACTTTCTCAACTGCAGAGGCCTGCAGTTTAGGCAGACCTCACCCCCCAGCAGAAGCAGAGAACTGAGTTTTGTCCCAAACTCAGGTTGAGCAGATACATCCAACACTTAATGCACCCTCAATGAGTGGTTCTTGAATCCAGACTCGACTGAAATGGAAGAGCTAAGAAGATTCTCTGTCGCTGCTTTGCATGTATTTACTATGTTAAAGATTCTATGGCAGTTTTGCAGTGGAGCATTCCTATAGCCCCAGAATCTGGAGGTTGAGGCAAGAGGATTGCAAGTTTGAGGCCAACCTGGGAAACTGTCACATCCATAGCCCAGCTGTGCCAGTGATAGGTTTTGGGAAAGCTGAATAAAGTACCCAGAAACAGCCTGAGAGCCGTGATCGCTGGGGAAAGCTGACAGGAGACTAGTCTGCTCTAGGGAGAGTCCATGGCCACAGGCTAGGTCAGCAGCTCCTCCACCCATCACTGCACTTTCTCCCCAGGGCATTTAGTCCAGTGGTGTCAGGCTGGATGAGGGACACGAGCTTTTCCCCAGTGCCCCATTCTGGACCCATCGCCACTCAGAGAGGGTCTCACGTTTGGCTGCAGAAGCAGTGACATCATCAGCATGACGTTGCTGAGCTTGCTAGGATGACACGGAGCAACGCCCTGGCCCCCATGCAGGAAAGTGGCTTTCTACAGATAACCCCCTCTGCCCTGGTGCCCAGGGTGCAGGAAAGAAAGCCAGCGTCCTCCAGGAGGACGTGCATCTGAACTAAGCAGCCCAGGTGTTTTACTGTCCTCCTTTGCTTTAGGGATGATAAAGAGCAACTTAGCAAGATCCTATCTCAAAATAAAGGGGCTGGTTGTGGTGGCATATGCCTGTAACCCCAGTGGCTCAGGAGGCTGAGGCAAGAGGATCACCAGTTCAAAGCCAGCCTCTGCAAAAGCAAGACGCTAAGCAACTCAGTGAGACCCTGTCTCTAAATAAAATACAAAATAGGACTGGGAGTGTGGCTCAGTGGTCAGTGCCCTGAGTTCAATCCCAGGTACCCAAAATAAAATAAAATAAAGGGATGTTCCTTGGTGATGAAGACTTGCCTAGAACGAGCGAGGTCCTGGGTTCAACCCCGGACAACAATTAAAAAAAAATTCAAAGAAGAAAATAAATAAGTCCTAAGGCAGTTTCAATCGCCCTTCCCGGCGGCCGGCCTGCGGAGCCGTTATCCTTCCGATGGAGAACTCGGAGCAGGCACTACGCCCTCACTCGGAGCTGGAAACAGAACCGCCACCTGCCTCCCCAGGGCTTCCGGGCCCGCTCGCTGCGCCCGCCGCTACCGCCCCCGCCCTTCCCACGCAGCGCCACGCCGGAGCCACGCCCCCGAGCGAGCGTCGGCCTATCCGCGCCCTATCGCCCAGGAGCCCCGCCCTGCCTCGCCTCTGACTTAACACAACCCACCGGCCTCCCAATTTCCGCCCCTGAGATCCCGGAGTACCCTCGGCCTCCACCTTGGCCTTTCCCGCGCCACTGAGCTCCGCCCCCCTCTCGGCCCCCGACCTATCCCGCTCCGTGCCTCTCACGAGCCCCGCCCCCAATCTCTTACTAGCCTATCCCGCGCCGCGCCGCTTCCTAGCCACGCCACGCCCTCGCCCGGCGGTTGGCGCGCGGCTGTGACGTCGGGGTCAGCGCGTGGCGCGCGCGGCGGTCGGCGTCCTGTGGCCCCGCGGCCATGCCCAAGCGGGGCTGCCCCTTCGCGGACGCCGCCCCGCTGCAGCTCAAAGTCCGCGTGGGCCGAAAGGAGCTGAGCCACGGCGTGTGCGCCGAGCGCTACTCTCGGGAGATTTTCGGTGAGTGCGGGCGGCCGCGGCTTCCCCTTGGCCTGGCCCGGGCAGCGGTCCCGGGACCCTCCCGCCCAGAGCAGAGGGAGCCGGAGCGGGCGGGCAGCGCCGGTAGGGGGCAGCGGACACGCGAGTGACCCAGTGCACGCCCTCCTTCCCCCACCCTGCCCCCGCCCCACTCAGCGCCAAGCCAAGCCGGGACATGTCTGTCCCTCGAAGACGCGAGGGCCGGGAGGGATGGAGGTGGCACCGATGCACGAGCACGGGCACGGGGAGCAGGGATGGTCTCGGGAGGCCCAGAGTCGAGGCTGAGTCCTGGAGGGTGAGCTAGCCAGGGGGGAAGAGGCCAGGGCCCTGGAAACAGCGAGGCAGGCGTTCTGGGTATGTGAGGGCAGTGGAGGCGTGGGAGGCCGCCTCCTGCAGAATGCCAGGCAGGTTCGTGTTACTGAGCATCACTTTGGCGAGCCTAACTTCTGGGGCAGATGCAGAGTGGAATTTACTTTATCCTGGTGGTTGTAGACACAAAGTTTATACTCACATTGGCAGTCGGAAAACATCCTGGTTTAAGAGTTTAAGGGTTGCTGCTTGTGCCTTTGGGGTGTGGAGAAGAAGCCTGTGTTTGAAAAAAAAACAAAGACCCCTTTCAAGGCCCTGGTTCTCCTCCTATGTCTGCAGTTCTGTGCCCTCTCCCTGGTCAGGGCTGCCACCTGAAATGCTTTTGAGGCCACACAGGTGATGAAACCAATGAAGCCAGAGACTGTGGCTGGACTTAAAGCATGTGCCCTTAACAACTAGAAACAGAAGAATTAAGTAGAATTGGAAGTTAAGTCATCTCCCTCTCTACATCCTCTCTTGGGATTCCTATCTTGGCCTGTTGGCAGGAGCTTGTTCCTCCTCTCTGGGTCAGGAGGGGTGCTGTGCTATGTAGTGTGGGCAGGACTGACATGCAGATCGAAGTCACATGGGATGAGTTCCAGGCCACAGCAACCACCTTAATCTCCACTTCAGATGGACCAGGAACCCTGTCCTCAGCATGTGACCCCCCCCTTTCCCACATTCTCACACAAATATAGGCGGAAGCACCCAGTTGGGCTGGCATTAGCCACTCCATTTGAGTTCCTACAGCCATTATTTGCATCTGGCATCTCCACTGGGGCCACGCTGGGCAAATTTTTCTGGGGACTGGTGGGTTGGCATTTGATTTTGTAAGGCTGCCTGGGTACCTTTGTGTAGCAGTGGAAAGCCACTGCCCTGTGCACTAAGCAGTCACTCCAGCTCTTAGGCATGAGTAGGTGTTCAAGACCTGTAGAAGGTTCTGGGGTCCTTTGATCAGGAGTTGTCTGCTGTCCTGTCTTTTTTAGTTGTAGATGGATATATAGCTTTATTTTTATTTATTTATTTTTATGTGGTGCTGCGGATCAAACCTATGGCCTTGACATGGGAGACAAGCACTCCACCACTGAGCCACAACCCCAGCCCATGCTGCCCTGTTTTGCTGGCCTCTCTGGAGGTGATGGGGATGTGCCCAGGCTTGCAGGCTCAGCTAAGCCTCTGGTTTCCCCCTACCTCCTTGGGGGCACCTTTTTGAAGAGTAGTGTTCTAGGGTGCAGAACTTCTTCTGCATGACACGGGCTACCTTGAGGATGGGAGTACAGGGGAGGAGAGAGGAAAGGGACACAAGCCCCGTGAAGTGAGGCCAGCTGTGGTTGCTGAGAATGAGCAGACCAATAGAAGGAGGACCTGTGTGGGACACAGGTGGGGCTGTAGTGATGCTGGCTGCCGAGCCAGGGGAGACAGAGGAGGCCTTGCCTTTCCAGGGAGCAGCGTGAGCCAGGGTAACAGGGGACAGGCACAAAGAACTCCCTGTGCCATCCTGATAGGTCATAAGATGGCTGTTGAGGGCTTCATGGCTGCACAGTGTAAATTTGAGGAATGGTCTGTCTTCCCCAGAGAAGACCAAGCAACTCCTTTTCCACGGGGCCCAGGCCTGCAGGAACTATGTGTGGGGTGAAGGCTGTGCCATCGTCCACCTGCCAGAGTCCCCAAAGCCCGGCCCTACAGGTGTACCTCGAGCTGTAAGGGGGCAGATGCTGATTGGACCAGATGGCCGACTGATCAGGAGCCGAGCCCAGGCCCCTGAGGCTGGTGAGTGGCTGCCAGTGGCACTTCCTGTCTGTGGTGCTGCGGGTGGGCAGTGCAAGATAGTCAGCTCAGATGCTTTTCCTGCCTCACAAGCAGGAGTCTGACCCAGAGTCTGATACACAGGGCAAGTGGCAGAAGTTCAGAAGGATTCTGCTGGGAGATCTGATTATCAGGCCAGGAAAGGAGTAGGACTCACCTGGCCTCCTGCCTGCTTGGCACTGCCCTTCTCTGTTCTGTGGAGGTGGGAATGTCAGGGGTGCAGTGCTCAGAGAGAGTCCCAGGCCCACCTGGATGTGTTCAGGGGGTCAGAGAGGGGTCCAGGACCCTTGGTTAAGTAGCGGGCCACACCTTGCAACACAGGAACACACCAGGTTCTGATAAAGCAGTCAGCAAGAAGTTCTGTGCTCAGTAGCAGGTGATGCAGCAGTAGGCGGACCTGCAGTCTCGTGGAGGGAGCACTGTGGATCTCTAGTAGAATGGGATCTGGGCACTGTGCTCAGCTGGAGGGTTTCTAAGGGATCCAGTGCCAGAGTGGGGCAGACTAGGTCAGTTGCAGGGAAGAGAGGTGAGCCAATAGCCCCTGTGCTCTTCCACTCCCCTTCCGGGCTGACAGCATGCTGTTTCTTTTCCTCACAGACCTGTCGGGGGCCACAGCCATCGCCTGTTCCTCATGCGTTCGAGCTGCTGATGGGAAGGTGGTCTGCAGCCAGTGCGAGCGGGCCCTGTGTGGGCAGTGTGTGCGCACTTGCTGGGGCTGTGGTGCAGTGGCCTGTGCCCTGTGTGGCCTTGTGGAGTAAGTGCTTTGGTCCATGGTGCTGCTAGAACCATGGTCACCATGCTCAGGGTGTGCCCACAGGGTAGTGGACAGGTCCTCTATAGGTGCCATCTACCATCACCTAGCAGGACAGGACATGATGACAATAAATGCCTTGTATAGCTTTATTTTTTTTTTTTTCTGAACCGTAGTAGTTCTTTCTCAAGGAAATCCAGATTCACCAATGGTCAGTTCTCTCTGTGGCCTCCTTTCTTCAACAGCTTTGTGTCTTGGTCTTCTCGGCTCCACACTTCCTCATAGATTGGCTTCCTGCGTTGTGTGCTGATGTTTGAGGAACACCTGATGCATGGTAGCAGGTGCATGCTGCATGTGTGTTTGCCAGGTTATTAGCTCTTTAAGCAGGAAATGGGAAGTTGGCTTAGTCCACTGTGTGTGAGTGCATGCTGCTGCAGCTGGCTGGCTCTGGTATCCACAAGGTGCCAGGAGGCTGTTCCCACCCCAGCAGCTATGCCTATCCACTTGTCCTGCCCCTTCAAAAGACAAGTTCCCCCAGACATGCAAGTGGCTCTGAAGATCCGAACAAGCTCAGGTCCAGCGGTTTAAGGCTGTGTAAAACTGAAAACCACATGTCAGAGGGCATCTTTCCCTTGAGGTGCTCTTCAGTTGGGGAGACCTGGACGGCCCTGGAGAGGTGCTCTAGGGAGAAGTCCCAGGCCCCATGGCCAGGTGGGAGTCCAGTGACATGCAGCATTCAGTTTGGGAACTAGTGTTAGGCTAGTCCTGAAGCGGGTGCTCCTCCTGTGGTTTCCCATCCTGATTTGGGTCTTTTTCCTACAGACAGTAAACTGAAAGGGCAGTGTCTTTGTAGCCCTTCCCTGCAGGTCCGCAGGAGGTGGGCTGTCCACCCTCTGTTACCAGTGAATGACCTGCCCCAGGTCACTACCTGGAAGTCATGTCCCCAGGCTTGGATGCCAGGCCTACCCCACCCCTTGCAGTTTCCGCCAAACATGGCCCTGGATTCCCATTCAGGACAAGCAGCTGCAAGAGTGGCAGAAAACAAGGGCTTCTCTAACGTGGTTCTGATGTAACTGAAATGCAGCTCAGCTGGCCGTCACCCACCTACCTGGTGGCCCCGCTTGGCCCCTACCTGTTCCGTTGCCTCAGGCTCACAGGCTGGCTGCTGGCGCTGTGTTGACTGCTGGCCTCTGGCGCCACTGGCAGATGGTCTGAGCACCAGGTAACCGTCAGCACTGGCTTTGCTGACGCGTTTTAGATGGCATGTCCTTACTTGCATCTTGGTTAGCACATTGTTCCTGTGTGTCCTTTGCATGTCCCTCCCAGTCAGTGTCTCCTATGACTGACTGGCTCCCCTTAAAAGTCTCATTCATTAGGAGAGAGCGCTGTTCCATGTGCTTCTGATGCGAGCCGTTGTGTTTTGTGAATTCTCACAGGATGTCGGCGGGGTTCTGGGGAGAGCGTGTCCTGTGTGAAACCCAGCTGGGCTTCTCAGCCTGTGTCACTCCAGCTGGCGCTGGGTCATGGCTTAAGCAGACTTACTCTCATGTTCTAGAGGCTGGAAGTCCAAGATCAGGGTGCCTGCAAGGTGGGCTCCTTCCGAGGCTGTCAGGAGAATCCATTGCAGGCCCCTTGGGGCATCTGGTGGCCGTGGCCGTGGCCGCATTGGGCTTTCCTTATGGTTCCTTATGGATGCTTATCTCCATGTGCTTTGATGTCCTCCTCTTCTGTGTCTTTCTCCTTGTGTTACCTTCTCTGAAGGCCCCCATTGCTCTCCTATGGGGGGACCTCATTTTGACTGACTGCATCTGCTCTGCAGCTGGGAACAGGGGAAGGATGTGAGCCAGTTCCTGAAGACGGTGTGCCTGCATGCTGGGCCACCCCTGGGTGGGGGGTGTCCCAAACAGACGCTGCAATGTCCCTGCCACATGAGCCTGTTCCAAAGGTCTTATGCTTCTGTCCTGGGTTAGGACGGCGGGGGACAGGGAGGCATAGCCCAGGCCCTAACATAGCTCTCCTCTCTCCCCTACCCCCCCTGCCCCGGTGGCGGTTCAGCTGCAGTGGCGTCTGGGAGAAGGCCCTGTGCACCAGCTGCGCCATGTTTGAAGCCTGAGACTCCTGTGGATGGCACACACATCCGTGCTGAAGAGGGCAGGAGTGGCTTGTGTGTTGCATTTTGTACCCTGATGACAGAATCAAATAAACCCCTTTATATTTGCATGTGAGGACTCCTGTCATAGCCATCTGAGGGTGAAGCGTGGGGTCTGCCCAGGCTGGGGGGCATAACAGGTGGGGAGCAGCTGCCTCCTACAGCCTTGCAGAGTGTGCCTGCCCTCTGCATCAGAAGCTCCTACTCATCACCAACCTGGCGCAGGGACCCAGAGCCCAGTCTGATTGAGTGGTTTCCAGTGTACAGTGTCACCTCATGCTGGTGTCCCTCCCAGACTGCCTCCTGAAATACCTTGTCACATGCATGGCCAGGGCCCCAGGCAGTGTGACAGGCCCTGCCCTCCAGGAGCTCTCTCCAGCAGAGGAGGCATCCTAGCGATGCTGGGTTGGCAGTCCTTGCCCCGTTTTGAGCAGGCAGAGTTGCACAGGGCCAGGTGGGGCTGGGCATGGAGGATTGAGCAGGGCTAGAGTCATACAGGAAGGCCATGGGTGCTGGTCCTTGTGAATCCAAGGGCCTGAGTTGGTAAGGTGGATCACAGTGACACTGAAGCCCTGGGCTGGACTGAGGCAGGGTGGGACTGTGTGCTGGGAGACCCTTCACTTCTATGGGCACTGGGATGTGCTGGCCAGGGTTCAGGGGCAAGTGACACTGAGGAATGCTGGTGGTGAGCAGGTGACAGCTAGAGCCTGGAATGGGACTTGGGGCTGGAGCAGCAAGCAGGCTGCTGTGGCAGTGCCAGGTGGCAGAGGGGCCCACAGAGGGTTGGCAGCCTCTCCCTGGACATGGAGCACGCTGAGGCTGTTAGCCAGGTGCTGGCTATCCTTGTTGAGGGTGACCTCCTGCCACAGAGGCCCAGGGCCTTGCTGCCATGGCTTCTGTTGCTGCCTCGCCCCACGGCCCAGCTCTCTGCAGGCCTTGTTAGTTCTCCCTTCTGCATCCTCCAGCCTGTCTACCCGGGCCCCAAGGAATGCCATGGCAGCCATTCAGCCTCCATCTCCACTCAGGATGGCTGCACAGCCCCGCCACTGCAGGCCATCGCAGGCCAGCCGCTGGCCCATCTCTCCTCCACCCAGCCCCTGGAGTGGGCCTCGAATGTTCCCCCTTGGAACCCTCACTTCCTCTGCCTGGGGCTCTTCCTGTGGGCACCTGTAAGGCTTGCTCTCATTTCTCTCAGGTTTGGGCTCAGAGAAGCCTCCAATGTCTAGTTCACAGCTCCCTTCCATCACTCCCTCAGCCCCCCAGCTGTCCCCACTGGACATGACATGTGTACACCTATCAACTCTTCCTGCTGCAAGGGGTGGGACCTTCGTGAAATGGCACCTGGAAGCTTGGTAGTGAGTGTCTGTCTGGTGTCCCCATACAGACACCAGGGATTGGCCTTCATACAACTCACAGAGAAGACAAAATGCCAGATGTGGCACAGCAGCCAGCACAGGAGAGTGACCCCAAAGAGCAGGGAACAAATGTGCAGAGCCGGCCGCCACCTGGGGTGGCACATGGAGAACTCAGTGGCCTGAATCGAGACAGCTGAAGATCAGCCAGGGCCTCTGGAGTTTGCACACTTAAGTGGAGATCACCCAGAGCATCCTCTCAAGGCCCTTTTCATACATAAGAGAGTCAGGAAGAGAGGGAAGCCTCGTCCTCGTGGGCACCAACTCAAGGTTGGAAGGCCATGTTCACTTGGAGCAGCTGCCCTGTGGAACCCACCTCACAGGCCAGACCTGGGTGGTACTCCACTGCGTCCAGAACAGAACTCCAGAGTGAAGAGGCTTTGTTTCAGTCCAGCATCCAGCAGAATGAAGTCTAGTACCTGGTGTCCATGGAAGAAAACATGCCCAGAAGCAGGATAGCAGTACCTATAGGGCCATCGCCAGCCAGGGGGACACTGGACTCCACCCCAGACAAGGGTGCTGGCGGCTCACTGCGCCCTCCTATTCAGAAAGCAGAGGAAGCTGGGGCTCGTGGAGGCGGGTGAGGGCGGCGCAGCCCAGGTGCCTCACTAGGCGACAAGTGGGGAGCAGGGTGGATACCGCGGAAGAGACTGCAAACCTGCAGGGCGCTGCAGAGCCACAGAAGAGCAGGGTTGGGCCGAGTGGAGTCCTGGGGCAGCCTGGGGGCTGGAATTGGGGTGGGAGTGGACAGCTGCTAGAAGAAAAAGTGGCTATAAAATGTCCCCATTCGACAGAATCATAAACCCACTGATGCAAGAAGCCTGACATGGCCCCGAGGAAAATGCTACACACGTCATGAGCCAATTCCCTGAAACCAAAAGAAAAGGAAACTCCTCAGCAGCCAGAGAAGAAAGACACTGTATGCTGGGAGGATAAAGATGAGAACAGCAGCAGAGGATCGTTGGAGACCAAGCAGGCACAGTGGGACAACACAGTAGGACAGCACCATGACCGCTCTTCAGGCAGCCTCAAGTCCCCTGTGCTGTGCCCCAGGAGCAGACCATTGGGACCTGGAGAGCCAGTCTGCACTGAAGACACCTTGGGTGGGTCCCAGGCTTCCCTGTGCCACCCCACAGAGCTGCCTGACGAGGACCAGAACCACCAGCCCAGTGAACCTCTTTCTTTTGTGACTTACCCACACTGTGGTTTTGTCCCTAGCAACAAAATGGACAAACTCATTGAAAATTTTTGACAAAAATGAAAAAGAAATGCTTTTCAGACAGACAGGGGCTGTAGAAGGAATGTCAAAGAAACTTTCAGACAGGAGGAAATTGTACCAGGAGGAAAGTAGGCCTGTGTGAAGAGCCTGGCGGTCAGGGTGGTGAACATGGTAGGCTTCCAGGCTGTTTTAAGATCTCTGGGAAGGACAACCAGCCATGTGGCGAGAATGTCAAAGACCCAGCGCAAAGGCTACACGAGAACATGGGCAAAGGAGTTGAGTAGACTCTTTTCTGTAGAAGTGTCACCAGTGGCTGTCAGCAGAAGGTCCAGCCCTACTGGCCCCAGGAAATGCCACACCTGTACTGCACACCTTCAGTATGGCCTTCACCCAGTGAGGAGCCTGTGCCCTGATGAGGGAGTTCTGATATCGCTGCCACACATGAATCTGAAAAATTCTGCTGCGTCCAGTAAAGCCAGCCAGCCAGAAACTGCACAACCCACTTTGAGGCCCTGAGCAGTGGGACTAGCAGCAGCAGAAAGCAGACGCCGGGGACAGGGCAGTGGGAGGTGCTGCTTGAGGGCCCAGTGTCTATTGGTGGAGACAGAAGCTTCCAGAGGAGACAGCAGTTTCTGCTCAACAGCTTCCTGTACTTGATGCCATTAACTGCATGTTATAATGTAAAATTTGTATCTTTAGCACAACAAAAATAATTTTTCAAAAAGCATTTGTTCAAACAAAAATGTATTTGGGATTTTATGATAAATGCAAACAACATTTATGATGACAATACTAAGGCACTAAGGCCAAGAAAGAAGTGGGAGTGCCCTGTTGGAGGTTCCCAGGGGCTGTGCGTGAGGGCCCAGGCACAGGCAGACACCTTGAACAGCAGGCCCAGCCTCGTCCACAGCCTGCAGCTGCGCTTTCTTGGTGTTGGGCAGACCCGTGTTCCACGGCAGCACGGTGTCCTGGAGTGAGATGCTGTTGCTGGGAAAGCCCAGAGAAGTAGGCCGGTAAAGACCAGAAAATGGGGTGATAAGGAAGTCATCCCAAAGGCAGAAAAGAAGGGACCAAGAACAGATGGTGCAGGAGTAGCAGGGTGGCATGTTTGAGCTCACCATCACCCACGTTAAATGTGAAAGTCCAAATGAGAACCTCAGCTATACAGGACAGAGGCCATTGGGCCTGTTTTTTGTTGTGTTGTTTTTTTTTTTGTTTTGTTGTTTTTTTTGTTGTTGTTGTTTTTGTTTGTTTTTTTGTTGTTGTTGTTGTTGTGTTGTTTTTTAACAAAAAAGAAAAACCTAAGCTGGGAGCAGTGGCACACACCTGTAATCCCAGCTACTCAAGAGGCTGAGGGAGGAGGACCATGGTTGAGGCCAGCCTGGGTCTTTTAACAAAACCCTATCTCAAAACTAAAGGCTGTGGATGTAGACAAGGGGTGGAGTGCTCTCCCTGCCTATGTGAGGCCTGGGCTCAACCCACAGAGCTGTCTTGATGGTCTAGAAGAAAACCGCTTGAGTGTCAGAGAACCAAGTTAGAAGCCAGAGGGTAGGATGAGCATGTGTCGTTAGGCAGATTTCATGGCGGTGGCATCCCAGGGAAATACAGGCCCAGCCCTTAGCACACCCAGCATGCCCAGCACATCCTGTCACCAGGGCGGGCACAACCTTTAGCCACACCTGCTGACACGTGGAAGTTCCAGATGCTAAGGCCACTCCTGTTATCTTCCTGTCCCTCTGAGCCTGCCTTGTGCTGGGCACAGGGAACCCAGCAAGGTCAGCTGCTTCCTCCTGGCAGAATCTGAGTCTCCCTGGCTGGACCCTGCTGTGCAGCAGCCTCCTGTGTGGCCACATAACCCTGCCCCTCTCATCTGCCTTGCAATCTAGGCCTGCGCTGCCCCTTGTGAGGCCACCTGTGTCTTCTAGGAATTTCATAAAACGTTCAGCTCCTTGCAACCCTCCCACCACTGCTTCCCCCACTCCTCTGCCACAGACAGCAAGGAAGGTTGGGTGGACTCAGTGGGCTCTATCCCTGCCTTTGTTCCTTTAGGGCTTTGCCTGCCTGTGACAGGGACACAAAACAGGCCTGCTCTGAGTAGCAGTGTTCCCAGGGGCTCTTGTGGAAGGAGCAGCCCTGGCTGCAGCTGCCCCCTTTCCATATCACGTGAGCCACGGTGGTTGGGTTTTGCGCAGTGTGAGGGTGGCACGTGGCTGCTGTACTTTGGTTTCGTTGCTGCTCATGTGCAGATGTGCAACCTGGCCCTCCAAAATACAGTGTCCTCCCGCAGAGTAGCTGAGTTCTTACTGGTGTGGCTTGAAACTCAGCCTGGTGGAACCAGACCCTGGACCACCCAGAGAACTTGGGCTGCTCCAGACATGGCTGTTTGGCTACCAGAGGTCCACACTGTCACCCCCATCCCACCCCCAGTGAAGGTGGGACAGCCAGCCCTTCTCAGAGAGGGGCCAGCTGCCATCCCTGCACACCCACCAGCCTTGGGCTCTGCTTGTGCACATCTGCAGGGAGTCCAGGCCATTAGCCATGAAAAAGCAGAGGCTGCAGCTGCCTGTCCCTAAGAGCCACTCGTGACCTTGTTGAGGGTGCAGTTCTGCCAGGTGTCCACCAGGTGGCACCAACAGCATATCGGTCCAGCTGCTTGGACTCCATTGGTTCTTGGTGCTCTAGCTGTGCCCCTCCCCCTGTAGCCTTTCCTGGCTCTGTCCTATCAAGCTGCTCCTAGGGGCTTCCTGGAGCCTTCTTGCACTGTGGCCCAGGTCATCACTGCAATTTGCTCCATCCTTCCTGGGAGTCCTGCTCTGCCTGATAAACAGCAGCAGGAGCTGGCAGGCAGCCTGGACAGCCTTGGGGGGAGAGGGTTGGGTACAGGGGAGCAGGAACAGTGCTGGTGCCCAGCAGCATCTTCCCTTGGAGTCTCAGGACAGTCGCTGGGCCTCTAGCCAAGTCCTTGCACCCCTGAACTCACTGGGATGTGAGGAAAGGGCTCCTGCTGAGCCTGGAGTGCCAGCTTCCCTAGGCCACTAGCCCCACCCAGCCCCGGCAGAGCCAGCCACAAACTTGAAAAGCAATTTTTATTGAAGAGTTTGGAGGGAAAGTATCATAATAGTAAAAATGCTAAAGTTGACTGTTGTAAAAAACGGCGTGGTACAGCAGCGGGTGCCGTCTGGCCAGGGGCAGGAGGGCCAGGACACGGCCTGGAGTAAAGCATCTGGAAGGACAAGTGCTAAGAGACCACCTGAGTGGAGGCCATGACCCGAGGGGAGGGGGCTTTCCTGTCACTAAGATGAACCCCCGAGTGCCTCCACACAGCAGAATAGACAGCAACAACTGAAACTCGTTCCCCTGCCCTGTCAGGCCCACCCCCCAGCCCCATGTGGGGCCAGCTCCAAGGACCTCCTCAGAGGCACAGTCCTTGGGCTAGGGGCTGCCATGTGCCTTCCTGAGGGAATGAAGGTGCTCCTGGTGCCCCCAGGCCGGGGCAGGGGCCTGGTCCTTAAAGGCAGGTGATAGCCGAGAGGGACGGCGGTAGACAGGGCGGTGGCCAGACCCACAGGCCCACATTGCAGGGGGCTGCAGAAGTCTTTAATGTTCTCCTAGGGAATTTAATGTTCTGAGGGCCAAGGCCATATCTGGAGAACAAATCGGATGAAATAAATTAAGAAAAACTGCAGAAGAGTTTTCCTTTTGACCTGGCGGGGAGGCAGGATGCCATCCACAGCAGGAATATCCTCCCACCAGTGGAGGCTGGCATAGCTCCTCCCCAATGCGTCTGAAAATGAGACCATCAGATACAGATCGTCCACATGAGGCTCCTGGGTCCAGGACATCTCGCAGCACAGGGCTGCCAAGGCCCTCCTGGTGGCCCTCAGGCTGTGCCGCTGGCCGAGTAGGAGAACTGGGGGAAGTGTGGCCTGCGCTCGCTGTCCACGCACTCCATGTTGTCATCTGCGGGGCCACAAAGATGGCTCAGACCTAATGCTACCCATCATGCAGTAGGGCCCCCACCCACAAGCCATGAGCCTGGCCCTCAGAATGCCAATTCCCTACCCTGGTCACTACCAGCTTTCAAGAGGAACTGGATGTTAAAGCATCTGAAGCCAATAAAGCCAGACACTGCTGCCCCAGGCAGAGGCAGTGCCCAGTCTGCCCTGGAGAGAGCGGCTCTCCCTCACCTTGGTCAGGCGGTGTGATGGTGATCATCTGCGCCGTGAACTCCTCATCAAAATACCTGGTATCTGTCTCTGATGTGACCTGGGGCTTGAAGGGTGGGCTGAGCTGCAGTGGGGGACAGGAAAGACAGGTTAGAGGCCTCCCTCCATTCCCCAGCAAACCTCACCTCAGGAGGAGCTGGACCCTCCCAGCGCCTGAGCTCCCCCAGGCAGCACTGCCATCCTGAGAAGGGCACGGCTCTGGGAGGGGTGCTCCTGGGAACCCCAACAGTAAGAGGAGGGACAGTCCTGTTCCCTCCCTGGCTATCATTTACTCAGGTTTTCTTAAGAATGGGGAAGGAAAGGGTCAAAAGCAGACTGGGCCAGGGCACCGGGTGAGCCTGCCTGCCTCTTTCTGCCCAGTGAGCACACAGCATTTGGCTGGGCAAGAACACAGCTGGGAGAGGACCTCCAGTGGCCCCAGGGTCACAGGCAGGCACTGTCCTTAATCACCTTAGGAGAGGACTACCCCTAGAGGACTCGTGTGGTTTTGGGTCAGGGCTGGGCAGAAGGTGTCAGGAAGCTGGGCAAGAGCAAGGGACCCTGTGTTGCAGGGAGGACTGAGGCATGGGCCTAACCCATCAGTCACATGTGAACTGTGATGGGCATTCAGCAAGGGTATGCTCAGTGACAGGACCCATGTAGTACAGCCCTTCTGCCTGCTAGTGGACTCCACACTGCTGGTAGAGCCGGTGCTGTCCCCCACACTCAAGGGGGCATAGCTCTCCTAGCAGCAGCAGGGCCTGAGGTTGAACCCTGGAGGAACCGGTAGCGAGCAGGAGGTGCCACCTCAGCCAGCCCCCACCCGTGCAGCACTGGGGAAGGACCCTGGTACTGGCACCAGATGCAGTGCAGGCGAGGCACAGGGTATGTGCAGCTCCTCTGAGGGAGGAGGAAGGGCTGGGCCAACTTCCAGGAGGACGGCTGCTGTGTCAGACCCTCTGAGTGCAGGCCACAGAGGGGCATGGACAAAGCTCCTGGTCGCTGGGCCTCGGCAGGCCCAGTGGCCAGTGTGCCAATCAGCCACGCACTACCCTGTGCGTGAGGGAAGGGTACGCGCCCAGGTGGCTGTGCGCATGTGCAGAAGTGAGCATGCTCGCAGGGGAGGAGCCAGTCGTGACTGGTGCATGGGGAGCTTGGCACCTTCTTCTCATACACATCCTGCCACACGATGCTGGCAAAGAAGCGGTGCTGCATGATCTCCTTGGCATCCTCGGAGCCCCCGCCGAGCCTGCAGTGAGACAAGCGAGAGGCTCAGGCCACACTCAGCCGGGCAGCACCTCTGGTGGGACCCAGCATGCCCCTCTGAACAGCTGTGGGAAGCCCCACAGTTAGAGCTGCAGCAGGTTAAGGGCCGCCCCCAACCTGGGCCTGCCCCGCCCCTCTGCCTGGGCCTGTTCCCCCTGAGGACGCTGAGCGCAGGCCACAGATGGGCACTGTCCCACACTGTTGGGCACGGGTCTAGGCACACCTGGGGCGGGGCCAGGAGCAAAGCTGTAGCCAGGCTGGCGCCCTCACCTCTGCTTGGGGTCCTTCTTCAGCAGCCCGGAGAGCAGGGACTTGGCCTCTGGGCCCAGCGTGCGAGGGAAGCGGATCTCCTCCATCAGTATGAGCTCAAACAACTTCTCGTGGTCCTGGTTGTAGAAGGGCAGGCGGCCGCACAGCATCTCGTACATGACCACACCCAGCCCCCACCAGTCCACGGCCCGGCCATAGTCATTGTCCTCCAGCACCTGAACAGGGGCTCAGTGTCACAGCGTGCCAGGACACCGGAGAGGAGGGGCAAGAGGGTGGGGTGCTCAGTGCCATAGTACACACATGACATGTGTGGGGACACCCACCTCAGGGGCCAGGTACTCAGGTGTCCCACAGAAGGTCTTCATGGTGGCGCCGTCCTTAATGCCCTCCTTGCACAGCCCGAAGTCCGTGATCTTAATGTGCCCGTCCTTGTCCAGCATGAGGTTCTCCAGCTGTGCAGGGAGGCCCTGGTCATTGACGCCAAGCCCCACCCCTGGCTCCCGCCAGCCCGTGGCGCACCTTGAGGTCGCGGTACACGACATTCTTCTCGGAGTGCAGGTAGTCCAGAGCGGACACGATCTCTGCGCCGTAGAAACGAGCCCGGTCCTCGGAGAACACACGCTCGCGGGACAGGTGGAAGAAGAGCTGCGGGAGGGGAGCCTAAGGGGCGGCAGGAGGCTCCGCCCCACCCCGGCAGGGGAGGGGTCACCTCAGCAGGCAGCTACTACCCCCAAGCACCACACCACTGGAGCAGGACGTCTGAGGCCCCCAGAGGGACAAGCGCCACCCACGAAGCTCTCCCACTGTGAAGCTGGGCACCTCAGGCAGCAAAGCCATCCGTCTACCCACCCTTTGCCCAGCACTTCACCCAGCCCTACCTCGCCCCCATTGGCGTACTCCATGACGAAGCAGAGGCGGTCGTGGGTCTGGAAGGAATACTTCAAGGCCTGAAATGGAGCACAGCTGGAGCCAGGGCCTGATACAGGCCACCAGGCTGGGCCCAGGCAGCCAAGAGGCACAGGGCTTGTTTTAAAGATGAGCAATATGGGGTCTGGGTTCAAGTCCAAGGGAAAATTAGGGTCTCAAGTGGATAGTGTGCCAGGCTCTGGGGCCACCAGAATCAGGTAAGAAGCTGAGCGTTGGCTTGGGGCTTCTGGCCCTAGGCTCCCAGCTGCCAGGGCTACCTTCCCATCTGTGCCCAGAGCAGCCTTGTCCGAAGGGAAGGCCCACTGATGACCAATGCTGAGCCTCCTTCAGAAATATTACAGGCCCCTGGTCATGTGCCGCTCCTGGGCCAGCTCCCCAGGGCAGGGGTACACCCAGCCTGCACCTCAACAGTGGTCTGCAGAGAGGCAGGGTGTGGGGTGCTTGGGGCCCAGGGCCTTAGCAGGGTGGAAGACCAAGGTCACCTGCTTTGCCTTCTGTGGACACTGAGCCAGCAAGCACTGCCCAGGCCCATACCAGGTGCCCTCTCACCCAACCTTCCTCTGGCCACATGTGAAGCCCTTGGGTGTGCCTGGAAGACAGGACAGCAGCCCCGTGCCAGTGTCTTCCTGCCCTGCCCCTCCCTGCCTAGGCAGGACGGCGCCCACTCACTGTGAGGAAGGGGTGCCTGGAGTTCTGCAGGACGCGGTTCTCAGTGAGTGTGTGGGCCACCTCGTCCTGAAAGGCAAGGCCAGGTGAGCACCCAGGCCACCCTGTCCCCTGTCCCTGGCCCATATGCTGCCCGCCCCATACCTTGGCCACGATGACCTCCTTCTTCAGGATCTTCATAGCGTAGTAGCGGCCTGTGGCCTTCTCCTTCACCAGGATCACCTTCCCAAAGGTGCCCTTGCCCAGTAGCTTCAGGTACTCAAACTCATTCATGGTCTGTGGCAGTGGGCAGAGACTACTCAGCACCCTGCTCAGCACCACCAGCCCCAGGGGCAGAACCATCTGCTGGACAGTGTACAAGGTGGTAGGGCCTGTATCACCTCTGGCAGGCTAGGTGTGGATTGGGGCCCCACCCTCACACCTGTGGGCCTGTGGGACAAGTGGGAGGCCAGTGCTCACAGCAGAACTGGGCAACACCCCAGGCCCTCTGGCCACTGTCCTGACTTCACTTCTAACACAAGGGGGTGTCCAGGGAGGGAGCAAGGCCTCCTGTCAGCAGAGGCAGGGGCTGGGCCTCACCACGCGGTGCTTGGGCTTAGCCAGGGACACCTCCATCTCCTCTGCTCCCGAGTTATCACTGGGTGAGCCCGAACGGAAGTCCATCATCTCTTCCTCTTGCCTCTTGAGTCCATCAGCCACGGTCTGAATGGCTGTTGTCCACTCCTCCCTGCAGGGGCTCAAGTGAGACTTTGGGCACCTGCAGGGACTCCACCATGCATCTCCCACAGCCAGCTGGCAGTTCCAGCTCAGGCGGCTGTCTGACCCCAGGCAGAGCCCTGAGGGGCCACCTGGCCTAGACTGCACACATTCCAGGACACTGAGGTCCAGCCCCAGCAGGATAGCATCCCCTCCCACCCTGTGTTCATTTCCAGCCTCAGTTTCCCCACCTATACCCTACAGGCCTAGGCTAGTTTGCAAAATGACCTCTGAGGAGGGCCATCTGCCAACCCAGGCATCCATCTTCAACCCTGGAGGCCACCTTCTGCAGCCAGGCCCTTGCCCTCACCCCACATACCGCTCCTCAGGCGTCTCCACATGGAAGGTGCGTTCGATGACCGTAGTCCACTGCAGGCAGCGGATGATGAAGGTGTTGGGCCTGGGCCGCTCTGTCTTCATCAGCTGGCATTCTGGGTGGGCAGGGAGCATCTGTCTGCACTTGACCTCCCTACAGTGCTGCCAGAGGGACTAGGGCCCTATTCCAGCTGGGACACTCTACTCTGGAGCTGCAAGGCACCCCAAGAGGGTGTCTGGGGCTGTGAGGTCAGCCCCATACCATCGCTCCTCCCCAGTGCTTCCTGTGGTCTCTGAGCCCCAAATAGTGCCAGAGCCCTGAGGAGGGCAATGGAGGTTCGTGGAGATTGGGGCCACAGCCACCCTTCCTACCAGGCAGGGATTTCTTGCTGTTTTCCCAGCCACAGCTAGAGCACCTGCAGAATATGCTCATCTGCAGCACACACACCTGGAGCAGTTCAGACCTGGTGCACACACACCTGGAGCATGCACACCTGCCATGGCTGGATTGTGAGGGACACACCAGGCCCTGAGGGGTATGAGTGCTATGAGCAGAGAGGGCGTCTCACAGGACTCTGTGGGCAGGAGGGGCTGAGGGGCCAGCCCAGGGGCCTCCTGCATTCCATCGTCCAGGCCCTGGCAACGCAAGGGGCTGGCTGGCTCCACTGAGTGAGCAAGGGGCCGCCTGCCAGGCCTGGGGGCCGGGAAGGGGCTTGGGGCCCAGCCTTGGGGAAGGACCTGATCAGCACGGTGGGAAACCTGCCTGGGCCCTGTCATCTGGGCACACGGCCTCCTGCTCATTCCCAGAAAGCCTGTCAGTGGGAGGCAGTGCCCAGAGCTGGGGTCTCGCCCCGTCACACCAGATCCCATCCTCAGAGAAGCTCCTGGACGGGGGCTACAGCACAGCCACCCACTCCATGCTCTGCTGCTTAGCAGGCCCCAGAGGCTGGCACCGCCCTCTGTGTGCCACCTCCAGAGCCCCTCTCCTCTTCCCTGCCCTCAGCCAGGGCTGCCTCCCAACAGCAAGGCCCTGCTTTGGGAACCCAGGGAATATGGCCTCCTCCCCACCCCACAGAGGGGAATCAAGGAGAGCTTGCTGGGACCCTACTAGGGGATGGGGGGTCTGCTTCCTGGGTCTCTTCCCATATGGGTGTCCCCCACCACTGCAGGGCCAGCAGCTCGAGGAACCAGGAAAAAGGAAATCGGGGCTCAGAGAAATCTGATCCTGAAAAGGCCCCCACAGGAGGCCCCTCGACCAGGAGCCCCATAGGGCAAGGCCTCTGCTCCCTGATGAGGAGCCTCATCTGATGGTAGGGCTGCTGACATCCTCCCCTCGGCCCAGCGCCAGGCACACAGGAGGGGCTGGTGAGGAGCAGGTGGGGGTCCTTCCCCATCCAGCCTGGGGATGGCAACCTGTACATCTCCTCCTCCAAGGCCCCAGAACCCTGGGGACAAGCAGGGTGGAGGGGTTAGAGGACCCAGGATCCCAGGAGGGTGAGCGGAGCCACCTGGTGTGAAGGGTGACATGAGCAAGGGACCAGGGGTAGAACCCAGGTCTGGGGCATCGCACTGCACATCCAGATGCAGCCCGAGACGGATCCCAGAGACCTGCCTTGAGCCCACTGCTCCAGATGTCCCACAGCTGATCCCTCACCACCCACACAGTCACACCTGCATGCCTGGCCAGCACCCTGGGCCAGCCCCTGGGAAGACTGGGCCACAGGGTGGCCCCACGGGAAGCAGACCAGACCGGGAGGTACACCTGCCCCAGCGTCTCAATCACTGTGGCTCGTGTGGGCTGGAACCTGCAGATGCCCCCAGCAGACAGCCTGGAACAGCCTTGCCACCTTCACCCATCAGGAGGGTGGGACACAAGCTAGGAAGGCCCCACAGGCCCCACAGGCCAGGGCTCTGGGGGTAAGGGAGGTGGTGCTCTCTCTCTGTGCCCTCCCCACCAGGGGGTATCCCAGTGGGTGCTCCTGGCTGCTCTGTTAAGCCCCAACCAGAGGAAGACCCAGTCTCCCCAGAGGCCAGGCTCTGTCCAGAGGTGAGACCCCTCGTCCTTCCAAGCAAGAGTACCAGGGCTGGGAAGTAGTTTGGATGGCCTGGGCCCAGTCAGCATTGGCCTCTCAACAGTCCTACAGAAGGTGACAGGAGCCAGCTCTGCTAGGCCTGTTCCCAGGGACGACACAGAGGCCAAAAGAGGGCCTTGGCAGGGAGTTTGGTGGGCACAGAAAGCTCTAGCCCTGCTCAGCCACCTCATTCCAACCCAAGGTGGCCAGGGGGACGCTTACGTGCCACAGAGAAGTTATTGAGGGGGGACTCCCTCTGGTCAACATCCTGGGGCCGCTCCTTGTAGCCGATGAAGGTTCCGTCATTCTTGAGGAGGAAGTATCGTGGCCGCCAAGTCTTGATGTACTCCCCTGTGGGACAGGGCTGTGAGGGTCTATGTCAACCCCCTCCTGGCCCCACCCCACAGGACATGTGCATGGACAGCAGGCTGGGGTGGGCTGCTTGTGACAGTGCTGGGTCCAGGGGAGGCAGGCTTGCTGGCGTTTCAGGCCCAGGGCACCCAGACTCAGGGAGTAGCACTGATGGGGAAATGGGGAGGGGCCAGAGGGCACGCAGGGTCTGGCAGATGGCAGCCACAGGTGACAATGGCATGTGTGGCTGCCTACCACAGCCAGAACCTGGTGTCTGGAGGGGAGAGGACCAGCACCACAACCCTGGCAGAAGTTGATCTCTGTGCCGGAGTCAGCCAGAGGGGCAGAGCTGCCGACTGGGGGCATGGAGTACCCCTCAGCACCATCCATTGACCAGACTCAGGAGGCACCCAGAGCTGGACACCGTGGGCATCAGGACCCAGGCTGGGACTACTCTGGGTCAACCAGGTGCACGGGAACATCCCCCTCAAGTTTTGCAACATCAGCCGTAAGCAGGCGTTCACATGTAGGAACCAGAGCAGATGTCCTCTGTGAGCTCACAGTGACTGTCATTTTTCATACTGACACCCGGAAAAAATGTTTCATTTACATTTTGCCGAGCAAGGAGTCTGAAGAGCAACGGGGAGCTCACTAATGAGGCGACTTCTTCATCTGCAGGGACACTGGGCAGAGGGCAGAGGAGCCGGCCCATGGGCAGGGTCCTCCTGCCACACTGAGCTCTGGACGAGGGCACCTGGAGGGACGTGGGGGACAAGCAATGGCTCTGTCACCAGGCCATCTACCACTGGGTCCAGCAGGGTGATGCCTAGGTGCTTAGGCCCCCAGTGCATGGTACACTTGCTATGGCCAGGCACCCAGGGGACCAGGCTCCAGCCCATGGAGATCGTCTCCTGGGGTGTATGGGTCATAGAGGGCCAGGCAAAGGTGCTGCTCCTCTCCCCACAGCCCTGAGGGTCCTGGCCAGCCTGCCTTCTCTATCCAAGGCCACACTGCATCCTGGTGTTCCAGGTGGGTACACTGTCCTCCTAGTGCTGTGGGTTGGGACCCTCTGAGAGCCACTTCCTTCCTGCATAGAAGCCTGTTCCCCCTCGAGGCCACCCACCTGCCAGGTGCAGGCCGAGGGAACTCTGGGTACAGTGCACCCCCTGGGCTCCCCCTCCCTGTGGCTCCCACTACCCAGACACTGCAGCCAGACGCTCCACAAGCAATGCAGAGGCCTGGCCTCATTCTGCATGGCCTGAAGTGGGAGTGCCTGTCATGGGAGTGGCCTCCGGCCAGCCCCAGGGTGGCCAGAGCCCACTCTCAGGCTACACCCCCAGCCCGAGAACCTGTCCTCAGCACTTAGGAAGGGGCAGGGAGGAGCTCTCCGAGATGCTGTGCAGAGCTCACATGTGGGAAGGTACCTCCAAAGGAAGGAAAGATGTCACCCGCTTTTTGCTGGCCTACAGCTCACGTGGCCGCAGGGCAACTGCCAACCCAGCTCCAACACCTCTGGCCCTGGATCCCATGGCCACTTGGGGCCTTGCCTAATAGCCAATGCCAACGCTGGAGAATGGAGTCTGAAACCCCAGCAACTGGCCTCCCCCAGCACAAACCCTGGGCCAGCTCTGCCTAGGTCAGAGCACCCCACCTGCAGCTCTTCCAGGAGACCTTCCCTGTGGCCTCAGGGCGTGGGAGGTGCAGCAGGCAGAGACTCCAGAGATCAGGCAGAGCCGGCTGGGGGGCTGCACGCCCACCCCATCCTGCCCCTCTTACCCCCCACGTGTGCCCACCCACCAGCGCCAGTCTGGAGCTGTCGGCCCCTGATGGAGTGCCTCCCATCTCGCCAGCTGCCGCTCCCCAGGATGCTAACTGAGCAGAGAAGCTGATGAGCACCGCACCCGCTCACCCCGGAAATCCATCTTGATCCCACCACCACGGCCCCCCGTGTGCCCCACACAGCCCCCAGCACCACCCGGCACTCAGTGCGCCCGCCTGGCTCCCAGCCCTGACCCAGATCTGTCTCCTCCCAGCTAGTGCTCTACAGTCCCAGCCCCCCATGGCCCCTGAGCATCCTAGGACAGGAGGTTCTAGGAGCCAGATCTGGGGGTGCCCAGCCCCCCCAGAGATCTCAGGAGGGGCTCGGTATCCTCCCCTTCCCAGCTTTCAAGGCCCTGGGCCCAGGAGACTCGGGTGCGCAGAGGGACAAGGACAGGACCTGAGCAGGCCTTTGCATGCAGCAGCCTGACACGCAGGAAAACCCTCCAGAGGGGAGCAGGGCCCTGGGGCCAAGGCTTCAGGACACACACATCTCTTTCTTCACCCCACCTCATGTCCAGCCGGGCCATCACTCAGGGTGTCCACCAAGCCAGCTGCAGCATGGGCCATGGCCTGCATGTTAATGTGTTCAGCCCAGACAGAAGGCTAGGCCAGCAGCCAGCTCAGACAACAGCACTCACTCCAGGGCTGAGTGACACAAGATGGACAGGTGGAGGACATGGCTGCCCTTGTGGTCACAGGATGCCTGTGGAGTAGCACTTGCCCACCCCTGGGTCTCTAGTGCCAGATCCAGGCCTCTCTCCACCAGTCTCACCAAGCTCCACACACCAACAGGAAGAGACTGACCCGAAGGGGCCACCCTTCTTCTTTAGTGTCACCAGAGGTACGGGCACTCACCCTGGCTGCCAAGCTCCATACCCCATCACAGCTGCTGAATGTCTTGCACTTGGGTGGGAGTCCAGCCTGGAGGGACTGTGCCAGCCAGTGTCCTCCTCTCCCTGAACAGCCCACAGGGCAGCAGAAGGACAAGGTCCCCCAGCGAGCCCATGTTCCAGACGGATGTAAGGCAGTGATAAGCTGCAAGGCCAAGACTGCCCCTCAGGCTGTCACCCCTAGACAGGGTACCTACTGCTCTGCACAACCAGGGCCTTCTCCTGCTCTCCACTTGGGGGACGGCAAATCACAACAAACCCCCAGGCCCCGGGGCACCCCCAACAAACCCTGGAGCTCAGGTGGGACCCACAGTCCATGCCAGGTGCAGCGCGGCCTGGGCCTCAGCCCGGCACTGCAGCAGTTCCACTTCCCGTGGGCAGTCAGTCAGGACCCTATGCCAGCTGTGAGGACATTGTGGCCCATGCCCATCCCCACTCCAATGCCAGGACTCCTGGGCAGGGCAGAGGCAAGACCTCAACCAGCCTCCAGGATTCCCTAGAGCCTTCCCTGGAGGCAGAAGAGCCAAGGAGGGGAGGGGACCCCTGCTGTGCCCACCCCCAAGACCAGGTCCTGTCAGGCCCAGGGAAAGAATACACATAGCCAGCAGAAGTCCATACCCGCCATGGCCCGTGTACAACTTGGGGATCCAGGCACAAGGAGTTGGATACAGGGCAGGCAGTGTCCCCCATCCTCTTGTAGCCCCTAGGTCCCTCAGTATCCCTGAGGGTCAGCCCGTCCTGTGCTGAAGGCTGAGGTTCTGGCAGGCCAGCCTCTCCAGGAAGTCTCCTCACCCAACCTCCCACAACCCAAGTGCTACCATCAGGGCCACAAGGCCAGTGCTTGGGGAGAAGACAAGCCAAGGCCTGCCCTCTCCACGCTGGGCCACGGGTCCTGGGGCACCCATAGCCCAGGCCCCACCTGGGCCCTCCTGAGTTGCTGTGACTCTCGACCCTCCAAGCCACGCCACCAGGCCACCAGGTCCTGAGCTCCATGAACATCCTCTGAAAGTCCCCAGTTCTCGGGAAACTGCTGGATAAACACTTTGCCACAGCGGCGATGACAGGCGGCAGCTGGCAGGGGGCCAGGCGGCACCGAGCTGTTTCTCCACAGCAAAGTGAGCCCCAGCAGGCCTGGGGAGCAGGCGCCAGCTGACAGCGGGACCGCACGGTCCCCTGCCGCAGACACATCCATCGCCCACCGACAGCTGCCGGGCGCCCATTTACCTTCTCCAGCACACTGAGCAGACGGCCCTGCTGACAGCAGCCCACAGGCTATGTGTCCAGCCCTCGCTGCCTGCTGGCTGGGCAGTGGGCAGCATGGGTCATCTCCAAGGCCCAATGTACCGGGCCCCTGCCTGGGTCAGAGTCCCACTGTTCCTTATCCCAGCAGGGTCCACAGGCAGGTGGACCCTGTGACCACGAGCCAGAGAAGGAAGGGAAGAGGCCATGTGATCAAGGCCACAGACTCGGCTTGGTACAGCCCAGCCAAGGGCACACGAGCTGCCCCCTGAGTGAGCCCTTCTAAAGACGGCACTTGGGGTCTGAATAGGGATGGGGCACAAGCATCCTTGGTCAAAAAGGTGTCCAGCCCCTGCCCAGCAGAGGCTGATGCTACACAGATCCTGGCTGCACCTTTCTCCAGCCGGAGATCCTGCCCCACTCTCCCAGAAAGCCCAGCTGGGTGGCAGGGGTCATTACGTCCACTAGCTCTCTACAGAAGAAACCAAGACTCAGAGGGACCCTCAATGTCACAGACATGAGCCAGAGGTGCAGTGGTGCACGCCTGCAATCCCAGCAGCTCAGGAGGCTGAGGCAGGAAGATCACGTGTTCAAAGCCAGCGCCAGCAACTTAGCAAGGCCCCAAGCAACTCAGGGAGGCCCCCGTCTCCAAATAAAATATAAAACAAGAGCTGGGGATGGGGCTCAGTGGTTAAGTGCCTCTGGGTTCAATCCCTAGTACCAAAAAAAAGAGAGAAAAAGGCAGATATGACCAAAGCCCCAAGTCCTGCTGGGACACACCCTGAGCTCCTTCCTCACAGGTCTCTGGTCTTCACGCAGGCTGGCAACAATGCACACACAGGTGGGAGAGGGGAGGGCGGGCCTGGCACCATTAAACCCACTCTTGCCAAGGTATGGCTGAAGCACGGGGCCCCTCAGCTCCTCCGGCCACTCCAGGGCAGCACTGCTGGGCCTGTCCTCCAGGCCCCCATCCCCCAAACTGCGGCCCCCAAACCTCC